AAAAAAAAAAAGTTTCCATCAAACCGAGTCCAATTCATAGTGGCCCCATGTGAAAAAGTAAAACTGTCCATTGGGTTTCAAAGGTTGTAATCGTTACGGGAGCAGACAGCCGCATCTTTCTCCTGTGGAGTGCCTGGTGGGTTCGAACCACCAACCTTTATATTAGCAGCCGAGCTAACCACTGCTACCTGGGCTTCTTGACAGTCCTTGGAGCTACTGGAATAAATCATTATTATTTATTGAGTTAGTGAAAACGTGGCTGAAGAATCTCAATTTTATGATGACAAAGCACAAATCAATAGATTTGATTTAAAATGAATGGCAGCCCACCCATCAGTCTTCAATCTGCCTGCTCTGTCCAACACAGGCAATCTGGGGACTCAGCACTCTGCAGTTCACAAAGCACCTGGATCCTCTTACGGTTTCTGCTATAGAAGCAGGTGGTCTTTAGTCTTACCTCAATTTTAATCCAGGCTGACTTAAAAATATTGGGGGCTTATAAGGCTTAGTTCTAGAGGTAGGAATCTTTTTGTCCCTTTAAACATTCTGTACACCTCCAAGGAGCTCTGTTTGCACAGTGGTCAAAGAATTTAGCTGCTAACCAAAAGGTTGGCAGTTCAAACCTACCAGCCACTCCACGGAAGAAAGATGAGGCCATCAGCTTCTGTAAAGATCACAGCCTTGGAAACCCTATGGGGCAGTTCTACTCTGACCTATAGGGTCGCTATGAGTGGCAATCGACTCAACGGCAGTTTAGAGTTTACCTCTCAAAACTCATCGCTCAGTTCATCATACTGTGGTGGCTGACATGTTGCTGTGATGCTGGAGGATATGTCACCAGTATTTCAAATACCAACAGGGTCAGCCATGGTGGAGAGGTTTCAGCACAGCTTCCAGACCAACAAAGACCAGGAAGAAAGGCCTGGCAAGCTACTTCTGAAAACTGGCCAATAAAAACCCTAAGGATGCCAATGGAGTATTGTCTGTCACAGGCTGGACATCATCAGAAAAGACTAATCATAAGAGAAAGGGATCGTGTTTGGTAAAGAAGCAGGTCACCAAAAATGAGGGAAACCCTCAATGAGATGAACTGACACAACGACCACAACAACTGACTCAAATATAATGATCATGAAGATGGCTCAGGACTGTTGTACATGGGGTCACCATGGCAACTAACAACACCCCTCAAAAGGGCAGCTTTTTGTTATGAAAGTAAATTCCTAATAATTGCACTGAAGTACTTGGCTGAAGGCCAGCGCTCCCCCAGAAGAAAGCATAGGTATTAGGTGACGGATACCCCCGGGAGCCACAAAGTCTTCTGAGGCCATCCCTTCCAGGGCCCAGCAAGCATCTGCCCCCAGCACTGTCCATCTTCCCCCAGGCGCCCAGACAGCGTTGTCTTGGCAGTTCTGTCCATGGATGTTTGGATACACTGAGGTCCATTCCTGAAGCACCCTGCTATACAATCAAAGCATTTTTCATTACTAGGAGGGGGTCAGGCAGAGGACACTTAGGGAGCTGGACTTTTTTTTTTTTTTAATTTCCTAGACAAAGAGCTTAAACAAAGGACTGCCTGGTTTAAC